ACTGGGCCCTGTGAAGAGTGCCCATCTAAAGCACACAGTATGACCATCCCTTCCTGCAACACGCCTGCTCAGCAGTCCTACAATCTGTATCAGTAGGATTAGGATTATGTCGCTATTAGTAATCTTCCGTTGTAAAAGAAGAAAACAGGAGGGAAGAATTTATACAACTATGATCTGGTTGTCTTTCTGAATTAATACATGGACGAAGAACACCGATGTTTAACTTCTGTACCTCAGACAACACAGTGGACGACCTACCTAGAGTCTGCCCAGGCCGAGACCCAGCTCTCGCCCTGTCCATATCACCTCTGCACCTCTGAAGGTAAGGACCATGCAGTTTTTACCTCTGTTTTCAGCACCTGACACCATGTATGCAAGTACTCATTGAATACTTGCTGAATAAGTGAATAACTAACTTTGAATTTGTCCACTCATCGTTTCAGCATCTTAGAAAAGCCATGTGGTTTGAGTCTAGTGATTGGGGCAAATCAGACACTGGGATCTGCGTCAATGCCAGGCTCATGCCACAATGCTAATGATGTGTTCAACGTGATTTCTGTTTCAAATTTCCCAGCTAAATAGAAATAACTCCATCGCCAGGGCTCAGGAAAGGGGAAAAGCGTGGATCACTGCAGAGCACATGCATCATAGGAAGACAGTTTGGAAAACAATGCTCAGAGCTGTCATCTGGCCCCTGGGTGTTATGATATACTGTATACAAAGAAACCAGATTTCAGGAGGTAGATTCTCTCTCGTAACATAACACAAGAGTTCTCAATTCTTACTTTTTTAAGAAAAAGAGTTGAAAGCAAGTAGCGTCCTAGGGGAGAGCAAACACCTCTGAGCAAGTGAACCACACGTTGGAAGAGTCAGGAGGACGGCAGGAGAAGGCGACACAGGCCACAAACGGCATAGGGCACAATGTTCAGGACATGGACAAGGGTGTGCTCGACTGTCAGCCCCTTTCACGGGCTCCTCAGTGCCAAGCCTGCTCAACTGCACAGCTCTCAAGCCTCTGGCCATGGGGGGGCACTGAGAGCGACCATTTGTCCATGAAACCACCTTCAGGGAAGTAAACCTGTGTTTGGCAGGCACCCAGAACCATCACAGGTTCCCTACCACTTGAGTATGGGACTTGCCAAGCATCATTCATGGAGTCCTCTGCCACCATGGAGAACAGCTCTTTGCAGGGCTTGGATTAGGAATCTGTCTACTAATTTCTGGAAGCAGAACTTTCTTAGTTGTGTCATAACACAATTACCTTTCCATCTTCAGATGGCAGTAAGAGCACGCCAAACCAATCCCGCAGAGTTTGAGAGGCTCCAGGGGGCACTTTCCAGATCTAGATCCAGGATGCTCCAGCAGGGCCGCTCTCATGCCGCCACGCCTGCGCACACTCATACACGCGCGCACACTCACAGACGTGTGCACGCACACGCACACACTCCACTCCCGCCATGCTATTCACTCTACTCATTCTTCCACACGCTGTCAGTCTGCATGCACTTCCTTCACCCTTTCCCAGCCACCCACGCTCCGCCCCCGCTCCCCTCCCCCTTCCATGCTCCAACCCCACCCTTCCCCCTTCCATGCCCTGCCACTGCTCCCCTACCCCTTCCATGCTCTGTCCCCTCCCTCCACCCTCCTTCCACTCTCCGCTCCTGCTCCCTTCACCCCTACCCCCCCTCCCTGCAAGCCCTCCCCTGTCAGAGGGCCTCTCACCTCATCAACCCAAAGGGTTCCTTCCCTCCTCTGATTGCCTAGAGTTATTTTTTTCTACTGCAAAGGAAACATCATTATTATAATACTTATTTAATGTTTAACTGCCCAGATGATTCAGATGGCCAGTGGGGTGTAGCCTTGTCTCTTGGTAGGGAGACATTACATCTTGCCTTTTTGAATTCCTTAGTGTTCTCAATTAGACCCCGTAGTTAATGGCCAGACTGGCGGTATGAAGACAGGAATCTAGAAATGAACAACTGGAAGCTTTAAAATGAGATCTACATAAACTACCTCATATTTGGTGATAACTGGAATTAAAATAGGGTATTACTATAATTCGTGCACTGATCTTAATTTTATCCACCAAAAGATTAACAGATAATGTTACAAAGCAAAAAAGCACACACACATTGATCTAAAGAATCTTTTCGAGAGAGGCGCTGGAGCCTAAAGGGCCAAGAAGGGATAAGACAGAACCTATCACTTTATAGAAGGTAAGGAAAGACAGCAGCGTAAATGGGCCAGGATAAAATTACAGTTTCCACTTGACTGACCCTTTAAAACATTCTCTATGGCTTAAGTGTTTTATAAACAAAACTAAAAGACAAACGCAAACACCAGTCAGGTGGGCCCATTTGTGGCGTGGGTGCAGAGACACGTCTTTGCGCAAACCCTTCCCGTCCCCACTGGTGACTTCTATTCGCCCACAGCCCATGAGCTCCTTCTCAGCAACACGTCTCATGATTTCGTAGCAGTGGCTGGCTCTTCTGTCTCCCTTCCTACCACCTCATAGTCTCATCTTGTTCAGAATTACATCTGTGATGCCCCGCATCACAACAGTAAGTACTGTTGATCATATAAATAAGTAAATGTATAAAATAAGGAAGTGGCTTTGGCAGGACACATTTTACAGTGAAGTATATGGCAGACCCAACTGCGAACAGACGTGCCTTTACAAGCATCTGTAAAAGGTTCTATGTTATACATAGTTGATCAAAAGGCTCAAATTCTTGAGAAAAATTCTATATGAAAAACTTCTATTCCACTTTTTTCTACAACTTTTTTTGATGGACAAATATGGCATTTTTATCTGTGTTTTTTAATGCCATTCTATTTATTTTATTTTTTATTAAAGATTTCATTTATTTATTTACTTGTTTATTTGCGAGAGAGAGAGATAGTGCGAGTGAGCTGGGGGAAGGGCAGAGGGAGAAGGAGAGCATCTTAAACAGGCTCCATACCCAGCACGGAGCCTGACACGGGACTCAGTCTCATGACCTCTCACGACATCATGATCTGAGCTGAAACCAAGAGTCGGCCACTTAACTGACTGAGCCACCTCAGTGCCGTCCTATTCAAAGTTGTATGTACATAGCACTCTCATCCCTTTAAGAATAGGTTTTTCAGAAACGCTAAGCTAAAGTCATGAAAATACTGACAGGCCTGCTGTATTAAAAGAATTGGTTCCCTGCCCATAGCTTTAATATTTTCTCAAGTTTTTTAAAGGAGGGATCAGCCTCAAAATGTAGAACTATCTGTCTCCCCTCACACCCTGCAACCATATAACTGATGATTCTAACGCATCAATATCGATGACCACATAATTTCAAAGTCAATTACTTCCTCGATTTAATCCAAAGTGGTCACGCAGCACAATGCTATCAGGATTAGCGTTCTGAAAATGGCTTTGGCCAGTCCTTCCCATAGTTCTGTGACTAAAAGACTCTTGCCCCTGACGTGGAAAACGTATTTAGAAACTGCAGAAACACGCTGCAGAGGAATGTCCCCCAGTCCCCGAGCCCCATTGTCTTTCCCCATCTCTCTCTCTGCCCTCTTTTTAAAACAGTGAAACCAGAAAATGTCAACAGCAACCCAAACCTGATAAAGGTGAAAAGGATCCATCACTTAACCCCTTTCTGGATCTGACTCCTTTTTTTACTGAGCTGTAACTGACATACAGCATTATATGAGTTTCAACATAATTTGGTATTTGTATATATTGTGAAATCATCACAATAAATCTGTCACCACCCACAGTTACAAAAGCTTTTTCTTGCCATGAGAACTTTTAAGATCTCCTCTATTAGCAACTTCCAAATGCACAGCCCAGTGTTCTTAGCTACAGTCAGCACACCCTATGTACGTGACGCCCCCAGGACGTACTTCACAACTGGAGGTCTGATGGACTCTGTAGGTGACCGTGAATCTGTCCCAGGTACACAGTGGATTGTGGCTCAGCAACAGAAAGGAAAACTATGACACACAGCAGTTAGACGAGTCTTCCAACACTACGCTGAGTCGAAACTGCGGGACATTGGAGAGTACGTACTGTAGGACTCCATTCGCACAAGATCTCAGAGCAGGCACAACCAGCGCGCGGTTACAGAGCTCAGAGCAGCGACCAGGTCGGGTGAAGAGAGCAGGAACGAGGAGGAGGCAGCCGGAGGGGACGTTCTCCATCACCCCGGAAAGAAACGTTCCAAGTGGGCCGAGGTGTGGACCACGAGGGTCACCGCCGATCAAGCTGTGCACTTCAGACTGGTGCATCTCCCTGTGTGTAAACTCTAGCCTCATCAGAAAAGGAGAGTGCTCTCCCAGCTCACCGAAAGCTCATTACCTACGAATGCGAACTCATACTTGGTTGCTCCAAAGCACTCAGTATTTCCTAAGATACACCAACATCACTCACCTGCAGTGCGCGTGGAGGAGACAGCGGAAGACACACAGAACAGAAAGCACACGCTGGGACGGGGCAGGAGCCGGCCATGACACAGACCCAAAAATGTTTCACAAAACATAGTTTTCAAAGATCTACGCTACAGATCGACAGGTTCCCCCCTCGAGGAAAGGTCTGGTCTCCACATACTGATGGTCACCCAAACCACACGAACAGAGCTGGTAAACGCAGCCGCTCGGAAGCGTGAGGAAGCAACTGCTTCATTGTCATAAAGGTTGATGACCATCAAGACTCCTGTTCAGGCAGCCTCGTCACAGATGTATCCCCCACCAGTAGTAACAGCAACTGCTGACGGAAAGTTTTACGGAACTTTGTAAGTCAAGGCCACCAGGACACCGAACCAACTGGTAGGCAGGCAGAAAGTGCACGAGTGTCTGACGAAGAGCTCAACGGATGAGACAGGGACACATTATTTCATGTGCATTCTGGTTTTCCTTCTCTGACACATGTATCCTCCTCCTTTTGGGGCAATCAACACAAGCAGGGGCACTCGTGTGGGCTTGGCTGGATGCAAAGGCGAGCAGAACCTGTGCACACTCACCTGAAGCCGGCCGCATGCTGCTGCATGGGCTGGTGTGGGAAACGGCCGGGCCACGCGTGGTGCAGGCAGAAGGACGGAGAGGGCTGCAGGCAGCACGCAGTCTGGTAGACGGGCGAGTGGCTGGGACACAGAGGTGCAGAATACTCGGAGCGCGGCTGCGTGCAGCATGAGGCCAGAGCAGAAGGCGCGGCCGGGCCAGCCTCAGGGCGGCCCTCTGGGTGACTGCTCTGGCCGGCCAGGGGCTGATGGAACGGGCACAGGTGGCAGCACGGGGACAACATCGTGGGCACTCTTTGGTGGCTGTCCACGGGCAGAAAGGAGGACTTCACAGTGCCATTGACCTGCAGGCATCCATTCAGACTCACTTTTGTTTTTGGTGCCTCTCTGGGTGTGAGCTGCTGGGAGGCAAGGTCCCCATCACAGGCAGTGAGGGCGCCAGGCTTGGGGGCACTGGTTGCGCTGCTGCCGTTGCTCAGAACCACAAAATCACAGTTCCCGTTGCTCACAGCCATGTTCCAAATTCTTGGCCCTAAGAGAGAAAATGATATAAAACCAGCCAGTGCCAGGCAGGCAGGCAGAGACGCAGACAAGACAGGAAAGCTACTGGAAGGGGTCGAAATCGTGGAGGGAACGCAGCAGCCTCTACAAGGGGCCCAGCGGCCCGCAGCACTCGGGCCCATAGCTGCTCTGTGCACCCACCTGTCCCTCCCCACCTCTGCTTTTAACCCTTCTCTCCCCGTGCTTGTCCTTGGTGTGAAGTATGGAGTAAGACTTGGCGCATTTTAGAGGACAGGGAGAGAGAGGGCACCAACATCGCCCTTCGACTCCTCACCCAGGCATGGGGTGTTAGGACACAGGAGTAATGACAAAATGAAGGGCCACCATGAGGGCAGTGAGTTGTCAAGGTTAAGATAATTTGAATAATCTTAAGAACATCTCATGTCTTAGAAAGATCTCAAGAACATATGATTTTTCCCCTAAGTCTCTCAGGTCCTAGAATAAGAAGAAACAAAAGAAAATAAAAAGTAATCAGCTAAGCCAAGAATTGCTGCAGCCAAGATATCAGACACCAGAGTTTTTCCTCCTCAACTGATGACTATAATGCTTAAAAAATGAACAAGCCACGTAAGTTGCCAAGAACTTATTGCTTTGTCTTCTACATTATGTAGCATATCTTGCACATGAGAAAATAGTATGAGCAGGATTTGCTTGAAATGAGATTTTTGTTTTTAACTTTTCTTCCTTTTACCAGAAGGTCCAGGCTTTCAATGTAAAGGAAAATTAACAAATTACCAGTAGCATGTTTCTGTCCCGTCAACAAACGAAAGCAAAAACACACAAATTCCTCCCTCCCCACTCACCCACCTCACCTCTGACCACATGCACAAAATCTGGGAATTTGCAGTAAGAACAACGGGTCACCCACTGCCGGGAGTCTGTTTAACCAGCATGTGAAAGCCAATGAGAAAAAAGCAAGAGCCCGTGCAGTTCACTAGCCCTTCAGGCAGGGCACTCCTCAAGCAGACAGAAGAGCCTCCAGAGCAGTCTCTCCCCGGTCTCTCCCCGCCTCCTGCGGTCACACAGGCACCAGAAGAAATCACCTTGGCTCAGTCTGAGCATATGGTCATCCAATCTGGCAAACCTGGGCCCCTACCAGGAAGGTCCCGTGTGCATTCTCACCCAACACCTGCCCCATGGCAGGGGCATTTCTGAGCAGAGCACACCACAGCGATGCGCAGTTCCAATCTGATCCTGGTGCCCAGAAGACGCTGGGCACAAATTCAGCATCATTACTGTATTTACCTTTCGGACAGAAAAAGACTACTCAAACACATGCACAAATTCAACATCATAAGAGACAGAAGAATTACATGGATGTCAAACAATTTCTTTGTAAATTATTTTAGTGGAAAGACAAAGAATCTATAAAACATCAGAATACATAAAACCAGGTGGATGTTGACTTCTCTCCTCCTGTCTTATCACTTCTGAAAGTGGTCACAGGTCCCAACCTCCTCTGCAGGGACAACGGGGAGGGGTCCTGAACATGTAGTAAAGGCAGTTTCCCTCTCTGGGATAGGCACCCGGCACAGGGTGCTGGTAGGCCCACTGTCACCGGCCCAGGGGGAGGGCAGGGCCTCCCCTGGAGGATCTGTCACAGCAGCTTCCTCTCACCAAGAATGTACTCCCTTTTGCTAACAACAAAAAAAGCTGCATGCAAATGTCTGAGAACAATTAAGACATGAATCAGGGGGCACCTAAAGAGGCACCAGACTTTTTCCAAAGCCAAGTGAAATTTAAGATGCTTGCTTGTACGCTGAAGTGCAAGGCAGCCTAGAACGTGTAAGAAGCACTAGCCACAGGACATAAATGCAGTCACTTCCCAGAACCAGACACTCGTGGACAAACACTCCACACAGAGACATCACGGACTCCTCTCCCCCCGACCTGGGACCCTTGCCTTCTCTCCAGAAGTCAGCCCGGCTGCCCCAGCTCGTGGGGTCCGCAGCTCCACTGACCCTGCCACCTGGAGGACCAAAGGGGGGATGTTTTCTCTGATTTGCTGGTTGGTTTTTACCATCAGGTTCGTTAATATCATCTCAGATAATCTATGTTGTCCATCAGTCCTGTCGATGCTAATCACAGCTGTCCCAGAAGTTATGCCGGCGCCAAGTGTCTAAGAACCACCTAATCCTCAATGTTTTAACAAGAACCTGGGCTTTAGGCAGTGTCCCAGCCTCTAGCAGCCTTCACAGCACCGTGATGTCCCTGTAGACTCTCCAGTTCCCTCTGTGTCCCCATCTCCCAACTGGACGCTTCTCCGGGGAAGAGTTTTCGTCGTAACCAGAATCCCACGATCATTCTCTTACTTCTACTGCAAATGCATCATTAGGTGGTTACATAAGAGCTAAACAGACTTCTGTAAGCCGGCCAAGGGGCCTAATCACAGGTTATAACATTTCCCCCCACCATTGGTAAAATGCAGTCCAAGTGCCAAATCATGACTGACAAATGGATTTTTGGAACATAACCTGTTTCTTAAATTGGAGATGTCTTTCAATGCAGTAGGAACTAGTAGAGAGTAAACAATCATTTGAACTCTGACTGGCTTGTATTTGAAGTAAGTCACATGAGCTTCTTATGATTCAGGTTCTTTAATCATAAAATAGGAACAATCAAATTGACTAAAGTTGTGAATTATAAGCAAAAAATAATTAAAAGCAAAAACGGAAAAAAATTATTCTAAGAAATGTCCGTGGATTAAGTTCAGTAGATGTATTTGGCCAGGAAAACAGCAAACTTTCGATCTGAAGTCAAGAATGGAGCCTACACCCTTACAGAGAAAGATCTTATTTCTTTAGAAAAAAATTTGGTCTGAGCCTAACACAGAGAGAGCTAAGGGGAAAGCAGATGAGACAGAGGAAGAATTAACATAATAAAAAGGAACTATCATGACAGATGTAATGCCACGTGATTATGTCTGCAGTGAGGTTTAAAGGAAGTTCTGGATCAAATGCACTGAACTGTTAAGTCACCCATTTTCCCCGCCCGTCACACACACAGGCAGCCAAAAGAAAGCTGTTCCTGAGCCACTGCTGGCCTAAGGTGTGACAGGGCCCCGTGGCCAGAAATTTGAGTGCATTTTCCTCTTGTTCGTGAACATAATGCACCAATATCAATACATTCAAAGCCACTAATCCCACATCCCTTATTTTACCTCTTCTCCTAGCGTTTTTATATAGTGCTTCGGCAGTTTGGGGGCCATAAGGCCTTTGGTCAAGGACCATCTTCTGACAACATTTTAAAATTTAATTTCTTTTTTCACTGAGCCTCAGTTCTTCCCATGTATTAATCAGGATAATAATCAATGTCCATCTCATAGGACCACAATGAGAATGTAAAAATGTTCTGAAAACCATTAAGGGCTTAGAAGAGGAAGGAAAGCTTCCAGGTGCCTTTGCGAGGCCAGCATTGCCCTGACAGTAAAAACACACAAGGACACTGCAAGGAAAAGAACTACAGGCCAATATCCCTGATAAACAGAGAGGCAAAAATCCCCAAGAAAACATTAGCAAACTGGGTTTGACAATATATTAAAAGGATTATACACTGTGATCAAGTGGGATTTATTCCAGGGACACAAGGATGGTTCCATCCTCATAAGTCAGTCAGTGTAATACACCACATTAACAGAATGAAGGAGAAGAATCATACGGTCCTCTCAATAGTTGTAGAAAAAGCTTTTGACAAAATTCAACATCCACTGTGGTAAGTACTCTCAACAAAGACAGAACATATCTCAATGTAATAAAGACCACACATGACAAACCCTCAGCTAACATCATCCTCAATGGTGAAAATATGAAAGCTTCTCCTTTACCATCAGGAACAAAAGAAGGATGTCTACTTTTGCCACTTTTATTCAACACAGTATCAAAAGTCCTAGCCAGAGCAATTAGGCAAGAAAAAGAAAGAAAAGGCCTCCAAGTCAGAATGGAAGAAAACTGTCACTCTTTGCACATGGCATGATATCATATGTAGAATACCCTAAAGACTCTACCACAAAACTGTGAGAATAAGTGAATTCAATGAAGTTGCAGGATATAAAATCAATACACAAAACCATAAAGGGCTGTGTATTTATAATGGAAGAATTATCATAACTGGCTGATTGAGTGTTAAGAATATAAAAAGATAAGGAATAAGGCTTCCTAGCTTTAAAGCCAATATTATGCTTTAAAAGAGCAGCTGAGGGGAGCCTGGGTGGCTTAGTCAGTTAAGTGTCTGCCTTCGGCTCAGGTCATGATCCCAGGGTCCTGGGATCGAGTCCTACATCCGGCTCCCTGCTCCCCGGGGAGCCTTTCTCCCTCTCCTCTGCCCACCCCTCTCCCCCGCCTCGTGTTCTTGCTCTCTAATAAATAAAAAAATTATTAAAAAAAAAAACCAAAACAGTGGCTGAGACATCTGTAGCTTAGAAGAAACAGTGTGGGTGGATCTGAGTTTGAAAGCTGACTCCACTGCTTTCCACCTTTGAGAATGTGGGTCAAATTATTTACACTCTTACAGTCTCTACTCTTGGCTCTTAGAGTTAAATTTCAAATGCAAATTAGCACAACCGTCTAAGAGAGCAATGTGGCACTCCTAATGAGAATTTTAAATACCCCCATCCTTTGACCATAGTACTACTAGGAATTTATCTTTTGGATATACTTGAACAATGTGTAAAGATAAATGCACAAAGATGTTACAGACTGCCCCACTGTCTGTACCAGTGAAAACTGGAAACAATCTAAAATATCACCAATAGCAGACTTAAATTTTGTCATATCTGTACACTGGGCATTCTGCACAATAAAAAAGAATGAGTTAGATCAGGCTATATTACTATGCAAAGAAGTCCAAAGTACATCTTTAAGTGTAAATAAAACCTAGCTACAGAACAGCCTAATATGGTATGAATCCATTTCACTGAAAAAGGAGAGAGATACATATATATGGTTAGGATACACAGATAGTTTCTAGAAAGACATACAAAATGCTAACATTGTTTCCTGCTGGAGAGCTGGACTGGGAATTTTGGAAGGGTGGCGAAGACTTCCATATTTCATTTTCTGTAGCACTTACAACTTTTGCAATAATTGTGTCTTCTTTATAGTAACAAAATATTAATAAAACATATAAAGTGTCTAACACAGAGACTAACATTGCACAAAAGGTAATTATCATTAAAATGTAAAAACAGAAACAAAGTTATTTTACCTTAAAGGATAACTAAACATCTATTCAGTGGATGTGTTTTACATTGTTTATCTTCTGAAATATATCTGCTGTTACAATAACACCACACACAATATACTGAGTAACTGGATGAAGCAGGAAATGAACAGGAAGCTGAGGAGTAAGAACAGATGATACAGAGTATTCAGGACACGTTTCCATGTCCGGTTTCTGGAAACACACATGACGATCTATTGGACCAAAGCTATCTATGAACCAAGAAAAAGAACCATGACCAGTTCCACAGGTAGCTGGCAGACACCGTGGACACTGCAGAGACCCTTCACTCATGTTTCAACATAGAGAGAAAAGTCATTGGAGTTCATGTGATTACAGGGATCACACAAACACCTCCTACTCTGGTTTGAGACCCAGAAAACTTACAGATTTAGCTGTAGAATATATAATTACGCATAACATACACAATTGGTATAATAAATATAATAATATAGTAATACATATTTTTATAATATAAGGAAATTATACTTAAAAGACAGAAAGTAGGGATGCCTCGGTGGCTCAGTCAGTTAAGCATCTGCCTTCGGCTTGGGTCATGATCCCAGGGTCCTGGGATCGAGTCCCACGTCGGGCTCCCTGCTCAGTGGGGAGTCTGCTTCTCCCTCTGCCTCTGCCTCTCCCCCTGCTTGTGTGCTATCTCTCTCTCTCTGACAAGTAAATAAATAAAATCATTAAATATGTATATTTTCTTAAAAAATAAAAGAAAGTAGTAGCTCATTGGATATATTATTGTATAACCACAGTAGGACCTGTTTGAGTTATGAAAATTTTATTCATCAACATATTGTATACGAAATAAGTTACAGGACACAGGGTCACAAAGGGAGCAATCAAACTATTTAGGTGGCCAGCAGAGCACAGAGATCTCTAAAGCATTGCTATGCAAACCTCATTGTAGCTACCTGGAATTGAAAGTCAGGACTGTGAGCATGGTCAGAAAACTGCCAAGTTAAAATCTTTAAGGCCATGATGAAGAGAATACACAGATCTGTTCCAATCACCACAGTGACCTCTAGCAAAGCCAGCCCAACCTCTAACAAGGCGGGGCTCACCAGCTGGAGGAGCACCACCCCCACCCCCATCGACAGCTCCAGCATTTCACACGCAGGATCCCACTTGACTCAACTCTCAGAAAAACAGGTGTGCTAAAGAGAACTGGAGATCCAGAGTCTCAAACGGTAGGCCAGGAAGCCCGAGGCCCAGGGTTTCAGGGCTTTCTACTAAAGGACTCCATAAGCTCTATCACGTATTCTAGAACCCTCATCTTCATCAGATGCACATCACCAAACCTAAGAGTAAAAGGCAAGACAGGATCCCTAGCACGGTCCCATGCTCTAGCCAGTCACCTTTTTCAGAAGAGTGATGCTCCCCACAGCACAGTTTCACTGAGTAAAACAGAAAACACTAACCCAGTGCTTCTCAAACACAAGCATCACTTGGGGATGTTGCTACAATGCAGATGCAGATCCAGTCCACGTGGAGCGGGGCAAACTGGAACACACCTCACGCAGCAAGGCAAACCACAGACTCGCCAGAGCATCAGGCCTCAGTTACGGCAAAAGGCGCACAATTCAAGCAGCACGAGTCAAACAGGGAAAGGACAGGAGTGACAGAAACAAAGGTCTGCTGTTCCGATGAAGGCAGAGAAAAGTAACACATTTTAACAGGAGAGATTCTAGTTGGTAACTAAGTTTAAGTACAGCTTAACAAGGTGCTATGGGTACAGATTTTAATCTTTCGGGTGCAACTCACAAATACGCATTAAAGCACCGTGCCCAGTTAACTGGGTGAGACAGTCTTTTTCCCTCAAGTGGTAGCAGATATTAGGGGACGGTATAAAGGCATTCAGTCACCTGTATCCATTACTTATCAAATTTGTTTTAACATGAAATCGTTCGTCTAAAATGGCTTGATGTTCATCCCAAATGATGGCCTCGTTTCTGATCACTATTAATACTTGGTGCTGTGGCCAGAGCATAGGTAGCTTCTCCAACTGCGCATGGACAAGGAGTTGTCCTGCAGGCTCTTTCCTGGAGGGGCTGCTAAGCTGGCCTGCAGAAGGCCATGTCTCAGTGATGTTTTTCCCCTTAAAGGGCTATTAAAACTGGTTTTTTTATCTTCTGTGTCAAGCGCTTTCCTTACAATACCTCTTTGTAGATATTACTAAACCCACTACAGAGAACCCGGGGGTTCAAAGTATTGAAGTGTAACTGATCTAAATCACAGGATTGGGATTCCGCCCCAGACCAGCCCGCTGAGGCTCTCCGGCTACCTCAAGATATCTCCAGGGCAGGGCCCAGCTCTGAGAGCTCCGATAGGACCCCTGGAAGCTAAAGATACAAAACCCAGTCTGAAGGTCCACATGAAAAATAGCCTCTGAATTCAAGATTTCCCAAGACATTTTCAGAAGGTACAATTCAGAATCCAAGAGTGTCAGAGACATTTCACTGAACTAAGAAGTGTTTTCCCCTGCCCTGGACCTGTGACTTTCGGGACTAATTCTGTTTTCATTTGGCTGGATGTAACACGTGTACAATAAATCATCTCTTCTGCTGTCTTAGCTGAAGAAAAAAAAAAAAAGTGTTTTCCATCCATGCATCATGTTATGCAAACCTGAAAAGCAAGTCATGCAGCGTTTGAACAATTTCAAAACGTAACTGTGACCTGACAGCGAAATCTGTATCTTTAATCAAAGACGCAGGCTTGTTAAGGAACTGACAAGATCGGTCATACGTGAGGAAATAGAATCTTCTCCCCTTCTGAGACAAGTTCACGAACTTCCTACCACTAAGCTCTCCTTCAACAAGAACACCTAGCAATATCTTCACTTAATCACCAATGAGGATTTCAAATGTTACAAAGAACTCTACAAAAATAAGGGAGTGTTGCTATTGTTCCCCTTCCTCAGAGATGGCGATAAATTAGAAGTTATCTCCCCCAAGAGGCAGTGGTACACACTGGAGCACCCGTCCCCTGAGCACACATTCCGCGAGAGCCCCCTGGGTGCTACACTATGCTCTCCCCACACCAGGAAGAAGCAAACTGAGTCCAGGAAATCTGAGAGTCACAGTTCACTCTTACAATGAAAATGTAACTATGTTCTATTAAATTTATATTATTGAGAAGGTAGTTCTGATTTATGATAACAAACACCACCTTTGAAAATGAAATCTAACATTTTTATATAACCTCTTTTAATATACATAGTCGATACTGATAAAGACATCAATAAACTGTAAATGTGAAATGTTTCATCATTACAACTGTTCATGACATTTACAAACAGCTTCGTGATATGGAAAAAAAACGGTCTGATAAATTGTCCCTCCCAGATTTACAACCCAAAAATATAAAGGTTACATAACCTTAGGCAGATCTTACAGCGTCACAGCAAGTCTGAAAACGCTGTTTGGGAAGCAGTCCTACGGCCAGCTAAGAGTCCGGTCGTCCAAGCAGAGACCCACGCGGGGAGGCGCCAGGGCCTTCCGGGCTGCAGAAACGCCAACCTCCGTTTTCTCATGTGTTTTACATCCAATGTGCCTTTGGTAACAGGTCTACCTGGGAAGGGGAATGTAAAATAAAGCTTCTGTTTTACATCTGGGATACATGATAGCCAAGAACATCTTTTTAGCATGAACGCTTGTCTCCTGAAATTCCTGTTTCACGAGAACTATCACTGCACTGCGGTGATGAGGACAGTTTTCAGAGATCCCTTTTCCAAGTTCATCCACAAAAATTATCAGTCTGCACGATATGCACCACGTCTCCCCACGCTCACGATACAGTGCCCTCTCCACACATCTATGCCCTTCAAAAAGAAAGGCTTCTTGTATCTCTGGGTTTCAATTTCACATGAGTTCACGGGTAAAACTAAGACTATGTAAAATAAAACCAGAGGAGTCTTCTGTCATATTAGTATTAATCAAAGGTCTTTGACAAAAGTTCTGGAAAGCCCTCCGATAAGGGTTCATCTAACCTAGCAGCCAGCCACGACCGGCCTCTAGAC